GCACTCCAGTGTGGGCGACTGAGTGAGACTCCAACTCAAAAAAAAAAAAAAAAAGGTGCTTCGCCAAACAATACTTACTTTGCTTGCTGTATTCCAATATATTCAGTTTTATAGTATCTCATTAAATAAAAAAATACCATCAGTGACACAGACAATTGATTTCATGATCCATTAATGGGCTTTGCCAAACAATACTTACTTTGCTTGTTGTATTCCAATATATTCAGTTTTATAGTATCTCATTAAAGAAAAAAAATACCATCAGTGACAGACAATTGATTTCATGATCCATTAATGGGCATGACCTTAAGCTTCACAACACCCAGCCTGCAGAGCATATTTTTAATAGACTTTATTTTTTTAAGAGCAATTTTATGTTTACAGTCAATTCGAACAAAAAGTGCAAAGGGTTCCCACGTACCCCTGTTTCCACAGCAACCTCTCTATCCACATCCCACACCAGGGTGGTACACTTGTTACAGTGACCCTACATTGACATGTCATTATCACCCAGAGCCTAGAGTTACATTAGGATTCACTCTTGGTGTTGGACATTCTGTGAGTTTTGACAGTTGTATAATGACATGTGTCCACCATTATAGTATTATACAGAATGGTTTTCCTGTCCTAAGAATCATCTGGGCTCGGCGCAGTGGCTCAAGCCTGTAATCCAAACACTTTGGGAGCCTGAGGCAAGTGGATTGCCTGAGCTCATGGGTTTGAGACCAGCCCGGGCAACTTGGCCAGACCTCGTCTCTACAATAAATAACAACAATTAGCCGAATGTGGTAGTGGGCGCCTGTAGTTTCAGGTACTTCGAAGTCTGAGGTAGAAGGACCACTGGAGCCCAGCAGGTCGATGCCGGGTGGCCGTAAGCATGCTACTGCACTCCAGCCTGGGCGATGGAGTGAGGCCCCAACTCGAATGAAAGAAAGAGAGAGAGAGGGAGAGAGAGAGAGAGAGAGAAAGAAAGAAAGAATTATCCGTTTCTACCTATTCACTCCTACCTCTAGAATATTTCTTAACAGAGTCTCCACGCCCTAGGTGATGCTCAGTAACTTGCAGTGCTGATGCCGACCATGCTGATGGTGAACTGCAAGCAGAGATGCTTAAGATAAGCCAGTTAGGAAGCTGCTGTAAGGGTTCCGGCAGGTGAGGTCAGTAAGACAGTTGTGGCTGCCAAGGCTGGAAGAGAGGGAGGGTGTGGGACGTTGTGCAGGAAGAACAGACCAACCTTGGCCAAGGAGTGGCAAATGGGGAAGCAGGGGCTACGGGGACCCAAGGGCTCTGGAAGCTAGTGGCCAGTGGTGTTGGACTGGCAGAGAGACAAGAAACGTGGACAGTGGGGACTTGAAGTGAGGGAGAATTGGAGCCTGTTAGCCCGCAGGGCTCAGTCAGCTAAAATAGCAGGGGAAAAGCTCGGATGAAGAGGTGGTCAAGCTGGGATCTACTCCTCATTTCACTGTGTAACCTTGGGCAAGTCGCTTGTCTTCCACCTGGAGGCTAGATAGAGGTCCTCGACGTGGAGGGTTGGGGTGAACGTGAGGCAGTGCCACCCACAGCAGCCGGGGAGCGTTAGGGAGCGGTAGGAAAGCTTCAAGGATCAGCAGGATTTCCCCTGGACAGAAAAAGAGCCGCGCGAGCTTAAGACACGAGGAGGGACCGCCGACACAGAGCAGCCTCTGAAGGGGCTTGCTTGGGCACGCTTTCCTGCCCGGCAACAGGCGGCCGCGCCCTTTCACCCTCGGGCCTCTCAAAACAGCAGCGAGAGAGAAACTTTCCAGCCTGCGCCGACCTGCCCCCTCAAAGCCGGGGTCCCAGCCCCTCGGTGACCCGCTGCGCCCGGGGAGGGGCTGGCGGGGGCCCGGTGGCTGGCGTGGCAGCTGTGCCCGTCTGCCCAAGGGTTAAGCCGTCCCCCCCGCAGCTGCCGCGCGTGCCTTGCGGAATTTCACCAGAAGAGGGTACAGCTTGAAACGCTCTTGACGTCAGGCTGGGATTCCTATTGTGTTTGGGAACG